ACTCCCTCCTTATCACTATCTCTCACTCAATATGAAGGCTGAAGATGGGAATATATGTTGAACTTAAGCGTGTATAGAAGATGGGAAATTTTCCTCCCAACACCTCCTTATATATGGCACCGAATGGAGAGGCTAGGATGTGTCTTAATAAAATTAAGGACACTTGGAACATGCTTAAGCTCTCTTAGGTGACTAAGCACCAAATAAATCCTCATAATGCCACGTTAAACTCCTTAACAATGAAGAAAATTTGGACAAAATTCCCACTTCTCACCTAAATTAAGAGTACGGCACTTGACATATTTGGATGCAAATTCCATACGGCTTTTGTGGTTTAATTATGTGGTTAACTTACTAATTAACCACTTAAACATGTTTAACTATTTAATTAAACATAATGCTTAATTATCAAAATTATTCCGAACGTAAACGGTACGTCGAAAATAATTTCCGGTAATTTCGACTGAACTGACTGAAAATAATTAATTCCAAAAATCAATATCGGAACTAAAAACATAATTTATACTGATAAACTGACGGGATATTACAATATACCATGTGGAACGGGGATTGGCCTGTTGAGCTTCTCGGAGTCATCCGATAGGCCCAATGAACTGTGGTTAACTCATCGACCCACGCTCCTGACGCTTTCTCTAGCCTCTTCTTTAGTCCTTGGAGGATAGTTCGGTTTGTCACCTAGACTTGGCCATTCGCTTGGGGATGCGCCACTGAGGCAAATCGTTGTTTGATGCCCATGTCGAGGCACCATGCCTGGATTCACTTACCCTGAAACTGAGTTCCATTATCTGAAATTAATATCTTCGGGATCCCGAATCGATAACAGATGTTGTTAAATAGGAACTGTATCATTTTCTCTTCGGTGATCTTTGCTAGCGGCTCTGCCTCGACCCATTTTCTAAAGTAGTTGACTGCGACTACAAGGAATTTTCGCTGTCCTGTTCCCATTGGTAAAGGTACCACCAAGTCGATTCCCCATTGAGCAAAGGGTATCAGGCAATTGATTGTCGTCATGGTTTCAGCCGGGATATGGGGAATTGGACCGTGCAGTTGACATCTCTCGCATCCCCGCACTAACTGTTCAGCCATCTTCTGTATCTTTAGCCAGTAGTAACCTGCTCTCAAGGCTTTGTCGGCTAAGGCTCGAGACCCTGTGTGCGCCCCGCAACATCCTTCATGAATTTCTTTTAGGACATGGTTCCCTTCTTCTTTGGAAACGCAGCGCAGGTGAGGCCCAATCATCGACTTCTTACACAAGATCCCGTTGACTTCAAAGTACTTGGTTAGATATCGGGCAGCTTTCTCTGCTTCTTGTTTATCTCCTGTAGGTATGTGACCCTGCAAGAGTTCATGAATTGGCTTCCTCCAATCGTCTTTTTCGTCGACTTCCATTGTTTGGTTGAGGACACTTCCATCCAAGTGCATCGTGGTAATATGACCTCCTATTTTTCCTTCATTAGAGCTCGCAATTATTGCGAGCCAATCGGCTCGCTTGTTTTCCTCTCGAAAGATTTGAGTCAACTCGAACTTCTCCAGACCTTGTATGAGGCTTTGGATTTCCTCGACATACTTCATCATCCTATCTTCTTTTACTTTGCAGTTTCCCATTACTTGGCCCACGACCAATTGTGAATCGGAATGGGCCACGATTTCTGTCGCTCCACCACCAATTGCGAGTTGGATCCCTTTAATTAATGCCTCATACTCTGGTTCATTATTTGAGGCCTTGAAACCCATTCTGATGGCAAAATCGAGTTGTTCGCCTTCGGGAGATACTAGCACAACCCCTAGACCTGACCCTTTGGCTGTTGAGGATCTGTCGACATGCATGATCCATTTCTTTCCTTCCCCTCTAGTCCCTTCCTGGATGAAATCCGCTAAAGCCTGGGCCTTTATAGCTCGCCTTGGTTCGTATTTGATGGAGTACTCACTTAATTCGACTGCCCATTTCACAAGTCGACCCGACACAGTAGGTCGACCCAAAGTCTCTCTGAGCTGGAAGTTTGTCCTTACTACTATCACGTGATTCAGAAAATAGGGTCTCAACTTTCTAGCTGTTATCACCAGGGTCAAGGCAGCCTTCTCGACTTCGGGGTATCTCGTCTCTGCCCCTTGAAGTACCTGACTTGTATAATAAATCGGGTGTTGGGCTCCCCCTGTCTCCCTTAGTAATACTGAGCTCAAGGAAAATGTTCCAACTGAGATATAAAGCACCAGTTCATCACCAGGCTCTGGTTTGGTTAACAGAGGCAACTCGCCTAGAAATTCTTTCAGTTTTTCAAACGCCATTTGCGCCTCGTCGTTCCACTGAAAAGCTTTCTTTTTAAGTGATTTGAAGAACGAGAAACTCCTCTCTGCCGCTCGAGCGATGAATCTGCTCAGGCCGGCAATTCGACCCATCAAGACTTGTACTTCTTTGACGCTCTTTGGTGGGGCCATGTAGAGTATGGCCTTCACCTTATCCTTGTTCACTTCAATCCCCCTTTCGGTCACTACATATCCAAGGAATCGTCCTGCCTTCACTCTGAAGGCGCACTTACTTGGATTTAGTTTCATCCCAAATGTCCTCAGTGTGCTGAAAGTTTCTTTTAAATCCTCGACATGCGAAGTGGAGGACCTACTTTATACCAAGATGTCGTCTACGTACACCTCCATGTTACGCCCTATTTGCGATTTAAACATTCGATCCATCAGCCTTTGGTAAGTCGCCCCTGCGTTCTTTAGTCCGAAGGGCATGACGATATAATAGTATGTTCCTTTGGTGGTCACGAAGCTTACTTTACTCTGATCTTCCGGGGCCAATGGGATTTGATGATACCCTTGTGATGCGTCCATCATACTCAGTAATTCGCAACCAGCCATAGAGTGGACTAGCTGATCAATTCTCGGTAGCAGATAATGATCGTTTGGGCAAGCAAGATTCAGGTCACGAAAGTCAATGCACATACGCCACTTGTTCAGCGCTTTTCTCACCATGACCGTGTTTGATATCCATTCAGGGAATTGAATTTCTTTGATATGTTTGGCTTTTAACAACTTGTCCACTTCGACTTCAATTGCTTTATCAATCTCGACACCATGTTGCCTGAGTCGCTGCTTTACGGGTTTCTTGAGGGGATCGACATTGAGTTTATGCTCCATGACGTCTGGGTCGATTTCCGTCAATTCGTCAGGGGAGAAGGCAAATATGTCCCTGAATTCCTTTAGCAGCTCCACCAGTTGTCTGCGCAACTCGTCCTCCAATTCTCTCTTGATTTTGGTGGTTTGATCTTCTCTTTCCCCGATTTAAATTTCCATCAACTCTCCGTGTGGTTCGAGGTCATTCCCCCTAGGTCTTTTTTCACTCGACATCGGTTTTTTACCCTCCTTGACTTCCGTTTGTTGATTAGTTCTTAATGCTATCTGATAACAGGTTCTCGCCAATCGTTGGTCCCCTCGAGCCTTTTCAACTCGATCTCCTACCGGGAATTTCAGTTTCATGTGGTAAGTTGATACCACCGCCTGAAATGCAGTCAACGCCGACCTCCCGAGAATCACATTGTAGGCGGAATCGACATCGACCACTATGAATCTCACCATCCTAACATTCCGCAGGTCTCCTTCTCCCAGGACGACTGCGAGCGTGGTTTCTTCCAGAGGTGCTACTTCTGATCCATTGAACCCAAAAAGTGAGGTATGCAACGGCGCTAACTCAAGATCTAGCTCCATCCTCTTGAGGCAGTTATAGAAGATCACGTTCACCGAACTCCCGGTGTCGACGAACACCCTTTGCACCTCGTAACACGACACTTGGGCCGTTATCATTAGAGCATCATTATGTGGCCTCTCGATTTCGCCCATATTCGCTGGCCCAAAATTCATCACCGGGCCGTTCTCCTCAACTTGCTGCACCTCGACTTTTCCATAGCGCCCTCGAGCATATGCATTTCTTGCCCGATTTGAATCTCCATCAGTCGGCCCTCCGAATATCATATGAGTTACCCCTCTCTTCTGAGGGAGCTCCTACTTGTCGAGAGTCCTTGCCCTCTTACGAGGGCTCTTGCTTCTTTCCCGGCGTCGATTGGTTCTTTCTCGATCCTTATAAATGAACTCCTTCAGATGGCCGGCTTTTATTAGCCTCTCGATCTCATCCTTGAGGTGTCAACAATCGTCAGTGTTGTGCCCATAATCCTTGTGGAACCGACAATATAGATTGCTTTTGGGTTTTGTTGGTCCATCCTTTCTCGTCTGCGGCCATCTGACGACATCATCACAGATTTTCTTTTCCATTACCTCCAATATTATCGCATTCGGGAACGACAAGGGGGTGTACAGAGTTGGCCTCCACCCCCTTGACCGTCCCTCCTTCTCTACTCTCGGGGATCCTTTTCTTTCCAACACCGAACTTGGCTTCTTATCCTTCTTCTCTTCCCGGGGGTCGGGGAGAGTTTTTGCCTTTGTCGCCTGCAAGAAATCGGCTTCTGCTTCCTCCACATTCATACATTTGGCACACCTCCCCAGGACCTCATCGAAGGTCCTCCCCGGTCGCTTCGCCAAAAAGTTTCTGCCCAGTCCTGGGAGCAATCCCTTGGTTAGTCCTCCCGATTTAATTTCTTCAGTGGCTGAAGGCACATCAACACACGCTCGCGTGTACCTCGCCACATAATCTCGCAACGACTCTCCCTCCTTTTGTTGCATACCTATCGGAGTAAGATACGATTTTTCCTGGGCCTTCACGCTTGCAAATTGATTCAAAAAACTCGAGCTGAATCCATCAAAGTCCCTGACGGCTCCCGGAGGTAACTGATGGAACCAATCTTGCGCAGGTCCTCGTAGAGTCGTCAAGAACGCTCGGCATTGAACGGGGTCATTATAGCGGTGCAGTACTGCCATGTTTTCAAAACTCCTTAGATGTCGAGTGGGATCAGTCGACCCATCGTACCAGATGTTAAGCTACCTGAACCCCTGAGGTAAGTCGGCGTCTGGAATGTGTTGCGAGAAGGGATGTTCTCTCGAGCTCCCTGTTTTTCTCCCCTTGACTCGGGCCTGCAGATCTCGCACCTGAGCCAGCAATTGCTCTAGTGTAATATCCCGAATTTTATCAGTGTAATAATATTTTAGTTCCGATAGTATTATTCAGAATTAATTATTTTCAGTTATTTCAGTCGAAATTACCGGAAAATATTTTCGACGTACCGATTACGTTCGAAATAATTTTGGTAATTGACCATTATGTTTAATTGATTAATTAAGCATAATCGAGGGATTAAGTATTACTAATCCAAGATTAAGGGCAATTAGCCGTGCATTTCATGCATAATTGCCGTGTGCATTATATAGTCATGCTATGTGTAAGTGTTAGTTTATTTTGTTCAATCTCATGTGCATGCCGTGTGTGTGTGTTCGGTCCAAGTTCATGAGCAAGCCGTGCGCTCCGCGCGTGCACGTGTTGTGCATTCGTCCAAGAGAATCTGTGCCCAAGTCATGCTAGAAGACCGTGCATGTCAAGCTAAAAATCCGTGCAACTCTTTTGTATTGTAGTGCATGTGGGATTTTGTTCCAAGATACCTCCCTCATTGTCCTCTTATGTCCTAAATGCCGTGCCCATGTGGGAGCAATTTTGTCATAGATTCCCCTCCATTTTGTTGGCATTTGCGTGAGTTGTGAGGCTAGAAGACAAGCATGCATGGCATTTTGTAATTTAGTGTGCATGTGAGCAAGTGTCATGAGCCTTTGACCAAACCTCTCCCTCACCATACTTTCGGCCCTTTTATTTTAAAGTGAGGCGTGGGAATGTTGTCCCATTTTCTTCACTTAAGTCCTTATTGCCGAGAGATTAGAGAGAGTTAGTGAGTGTTTGGAGTGAGTTTGGAGGGTTATTCGGGAGCACATTACCGAGAGCAACCCCACGCCCGCAAGCCTCCGCACGGAAGCCCGAGAGCACGCACGCATCGCACACTACACATCGCACGCACGCGGAGGCACTGCCGAGAGCACGGTTCCGAGTCTTTTAACCTCTTGAGCATTACAAGAGGTAAGTTCCCGTCGATTGTTGTCCGAGAATATCATGTTTATCAAGATTAGAATTTATTTGTTC